TTTCGTGTCATTTGGACTTCGTTTGGTACTGATATTCTGGAAAACCAAAAACAGGCAAAAAACAGCAACTGACACTTTGCACTAAGTTAATAGGTTAGTCCCAATAAAATGATATCAAAGTGCATATAATTGCATATAAAACATCCAATATTGATACTATAATAGCATGGAACAGTAAAAAATTATAGATACGTTGGAGACGTATCAATCCCCATCCCCCCTCCCACATCATCATCCATTCATCCCCCCTCCCCATCGATTTTCTCCATCTTCAGATTCGAGAGAGAGAGAGAGAGAGAGAGAGCAATGAGGAGCACGGATCCTCTCCCCTCATGACCCCAACGACCTCGTGCGCGAAAGTGGGTTAATGGAGGGAGCAACGAGGGTGCTGCCGTCCCAGCACGATGAACACACTGGCAGAGCAGCAACCATGTCCTCCAACCTCTATGACCTCCTTAAGCTATGCAATGCCAACGACACGCGGCCCGCTCAGCGGGTAGGCATTGCACGGTCCTTGATACCATCCAAGGGGGCCGATGACGGCATCACTTATCTAGCTCCCACTTCCTCCACGCGCCACAGGGCGTTCGCGACCGCGATGCACGCGGTGCCCGCGGCGGAACCAGTGACGGCGTCACCCAGACAGGGGAAGGAGCAGAGGATGTAGCTGATGCCGTTGTTAAAGCAGACGGAGCAGCACTGGACGAAGGTGATGATGAACGGTGGGCATGGACACGCGTAGAGCAGAATGCGGCTGCCATGGAGGAGGAAGGGCGGCGGGGGTGTGGGCGGGCGGTGTTGTGTGTGCATGGCGTGACCCAAACTTATATTTAGACTATGGCAAAAGTATAACTTGGTCATGGCAAATTTTATTTTATTTATCATGGCACATTTACTTTTTGCACCATGGCTTTTTTACGTGTTGGACCATGGTCAACAATTTAAGCAACACGGTCACTTCTTTTTGGAACATGAAAAATTCATTTTACAAACCATGGCAAATTCCCTTTTTTACACACTTCGTTGAACAAATGATGGTAATTTATGATAATTTTATACCATTGCAAATTTATATTTTTGAACATCCCATGGGAAAATATGTTTTCATAAGACTATTTTAATAGTTGTTCTTTTTCAATATTTTTGTTTGCCATCATCTAATGAAACAATGTATTCTAAAAAAAGAAAATCTAACGAAACAATGACAATCTAGGTTCAAACATAATTGTTATGTTTTTTTGTCTTTTGTTTCCAAGATATGGCCGATTTAGTTCTCACGCACTGCAAATGTAAATTTCATGTATAATATGCGTTTGCAATGGGTTACTTTTTTCAGTTTTGATGTTATTGGGGTTTTGAACTGTTTTTTGTTGGACAATCAATGTCGCTTTTTTGGAGGAGGCTAGTCAAAACGCTGATGGGCCATGCTTGATTCTAGTCGGGTTCTCGTAAACGTTCGCTCGGCTTGGGCATGCCGCTTTCCTAAATGGGCAGGCCCAGCGCGCGGGAGGCCACTGCCTTGTTTTTTTTTCTTTTCAAATCTGTATATTATAAGAAAAACTTACATAAAAATAACAAAAATGTTAACCAAGCATTTGAAAATATGTTCAATGCGTATATAAAATTATTTCCCATGTATATGACCAACGTTAGTCAATCATTTGTTTTTTAATATGTAAAAAAATGTTTGTCATGTTACGAAAAATATATACAAAAAACACAATGTGTATGTAATAATGTTGATCATGTATTTTTAAAAATGCTCGTAGTGTATAAAGAAAATGTAAAACATATATTAAATAAAAGTAGATATAAAAACAAATATTTAAAAAAATGTATTCACAAAATTTTAAACATGTGTAAAAATATTTCTGATGTATACAAATGAATGTACATTGTTTGTGATTTTTTTATTGCCATAAAAATGTTCGCCAGATATTGATTTTTTAACCATGTATTCAAAAATATAAATTTTGTATTTCAAAAATATATAAACATGCATTTAGGAATATATGCCAAAAATATACAATGTGTATGAAAAAAGATAGACACAAAAAAATATAAGTTTTCAAAAATTATTTACATGTATTTGAAAATGTTAAATATGAATATAAAATATGTTTCTGACATATACAATAATGTTGAATGATTCCGGAAAAAAGTTGATATGTGTTGAAAAAAAATAAACCCACAAAAAGATAAAGAAAAACGAAAAATAGAGAAACCCAATAAAAGCCAAAAAAAGAAAACAAAAAAATATAAATAAAATAATAGAAAACCAATGCAAAAGAATGTGAAGAGTGTAAATTGAGAAAAAACAAAGATTGATGAAGATCTAGAAATGAACAAAGAATAACCAAGAGAAAAGAAAAAACAGTAAAAACTGTAAAAGAAAGAAAGAAAACTGGTGAAAACAAACAAAAACAGGAAAATATAGAAAAACAGTGAAGGAACAGAAAACCAAAAGAAAAAGAAAAAGAAAGTGAAAAAAATAAGCGAAGGAAGCGAGCGACACACGCAGCCAACCTCCAAGGGAGCGAGCGCGGACCGAAAAAACACCAAGCATAGGCCGGCCTAGTAGTGTACTTCGAGAACTCTCTTGCATTAAGTGAGATATACTACCTCCCTTCGCTTATCTCAAAATTTTAGTTTTTTCGTTTTATAAATTTCAATTTAATTGTTGTCCATTACATGTTCAGATTCTAAGGTGTGTTAAATCGATGCATGCAAGAGTTAAAAAAAATATTCACCAATGCATGTAAAAGTTATATATCATTTATTGGTGACACATGCATTCATTGCCATTAATGCATTAATAAATACAATATTTTAAGAAAAATGAGTGCACTAATTGAGTATTTTTGTAAACTACAAAAGTTATTCCCTCAATCATCACCTACTTTGGTTGATGAGATTTTAAATCAAGGCCTTATAAACCGAAAGTGAGGGAGTATATCTCTGAGCCGCTCGTCTCGAACGAATCGTTCGATCGCACACCCTTTCCTTGACGAACGTCAGTCGTATACTGCGGTCTGAAATTTAAGTCGATGGCTTGACCGCTTTGGTCGTAATGAGGAGTATCATATACTAGTATCATGCATATGATACTAGTGTATGATACTACCTCTCTAATGCATAGTATCATGTACTAGTATCATATGGTACTTTATTTATTGACATGCATGACACATAGTAGTATAACATTTATTACGATACGGCATCTTGATATGATACTCATCCCTCTTTTTTTTCATTTAATACTATGACATGTCATCAAAATTGCCTCGTTGGCAATGCATGATACTAGCTATGTTACTCCCGTTACGACCAGGCTAAGACGAACAATTCGCATGGTACATGGTAGCAAGTGCCAGCTCGTGGAGCTCATTGACGTGGGAAAAGCGAAAATATCTGCTTGATCTTTTCTCTCAAGCTCATGAGTCCGCAAAAATCTGGCTTGTCGGACACATACAACTAGAGGAGGCGCGAGAAAGTGCGCATGCGGCAGCACAGCTTCCCCGTCCAAGTGTGCCAAAAAAGTGCAGGATCCTTGGTCCATCCATGCCCAGCCAACCATATCGCTGACATCCTACATGTAGTAGCGGATAGATAACCCAACCAACGCCTGCCCATCCCTTCCCTCCATTTGCAAATTTGGATCTTCTTCCATTCCAGCAAATATCCTGTGCGCGCGCATGGGGAGATATTTTCTTAGCGCTGTCCAGGGTCACTGAGAAGCGGGGCCCAAAGTGCACCAGATGTCTGCCTCTAGAGACCCAACAAAAGCGTATTTGGAGGGAGGGAAGAGGTCACTGGACGAGAGTGGGCCAAGTCGTGTGTGCAACCCGAAATAGATATTTGGACTGAGATATTATCTATTTTTGTGTTTCCTTTTTTGTTTTTCTTTCCGGAGTTGTACTAGAGGGCAAACACTTTTTTCTCCTTTCTTGCAAACAAGCCGCGTATATCATTGCAATACCCCAGAAATCTGAGAGCAGTAAGTGAGTAAATATTAAAGTTTTGCAGTTCATAAAAGAAGGTTGACGCCGCTCTAGTGTTTAGCGTTAAACATGTTTACCACTAGACACGTTTAGCATCCTCTAGTAATTAATATCAATGTCTGTATTAATTAAGTAATCATATCATACGTAATACTAACACACACTTTATATATTGTATAATATTAATGTGCAACATAAGAATTATCTTTTCTAATATTAATGTCTACCGTCACTATTTTGGGCGTGTGGAGGTGTGTCTTTGGCGCATCTATGTTTGGTGGATTTGCTCGGATAACGTTGTTGTTCGTCTACATTCGTGTGTCTTCGAGTCGGATCCTTCTGATATACGTTATTCTTCATCTGCGACGGTTGTTGTTCGGTACGCTGGTCCTACATGCCTTAGCACGACGACTTCCCGACTGACTACTACAACAAGTTGTGCTCGACTCCGGCGATGGAGGGGCGATGACGGTGGCGCGCCTTCAGCCTGCTTCAGTGCTTGTAGTCGTCGTTAGATGGTTTACGGATCTGGATGTAATTTTTATTATTTCTGGTATTCGTTGTACTGCCATGATTGAAAATGAATAGATTGAAAATTTTCTCGCGGAAAAAGAAATTAAGTGGTACAGAGCTTTGTGGCATGGTCGGAAAACATAATGTTTTTTAGGGTCTAAATGAAGACCTCTGATGTCAAAGTAGAAAATCGGAAAGTGCTTACCCCAAAACAAGAAAATCAGACTAGGTAATAACCTTTCAAAAATATATTTTAAAAAAGCACTCCTCTCACCGGCATCAGTCCTCACTACTTTCGCGCTATCCTTCTTGTATAAAACCACCCCCTCTGCTCTCTCTCCTCCTCCCACTCCTGCATGCCTCAACGAACCATCTCCAAGAAAACACCTCACCCCAATCCAACCCCAAACCAATCCTCTCCACAAACCAATCTAACACAATTCCCCCACTGATTTTCTCATCGAGATTCGATCAGAGCAGTTGGAGATGAAGCTTGACAGGGAGATGGAGATGCTCCTCAACGAGATCCCTCTCCTCCTCCACGGCGACGTCATCGGCTGCGGCGAGCCAGCCGCCGCGGAGACCGACACCGACGCCGTCGACTTCTCTTACCTCATTCAAGAACTCGGCGAGATGGGGTTCGTCGAGGACGACGACGATGACGACGACAACGGTTTCCTTCACCCCAGGAAGGCCAGCTCATCCCCGACGAGCAACCTCCATTTCATGGACGCCGAGAATTTCGTGGCGTCGCGTCCCTTCTCCATGGACAAAGACCGCGAGAGGGCTCTGTTCGATCCGTTCCCCTTCTCCAGCACCTGCTTCGACGCCGCCGTGGACGACGACTGGGACCTCCTGTGTCCGCCGGCGAGGTCCCGGCTGTGCAAGACGGCGAGGCCGAAGAAGGGTACCTGCAGCAATGGCTGCCAGGCGACGAGCCCCAAGATGTGCGCGGCGGCGAAGCCGTCCAAGTACGAGAGCCTTGTCGGGCTGCGCGGGTACATGTACCACGTGGCCAGGGACCAGCACGGCTGCCGGTTTCTCCAGCAGCGGCTCGACGACGGCAAGCGCGAGGTCGATTTCATCTTCACCGGCGTCGCCCGTCACGCCGTCGACCTCATGGTGAACCCGTTCGGGAACTACCTCATGCAGAAGCTGTTAGCCGTCTGCAGCGAGGAGCAGAGGATGGGCATCGTGCTCACCCTCACAAAGGACCCCTTCGTGCTCGTCAGGATCTCTCTCAATGTACATGGGTAAGCACCATGTTTTTAACTTTGTTCCTGCTAATTGTTTTTTGTTGCTCTTTTCGAATGAAATGTTTTTTGTTGCTAAATGTTGTGTCGTTTCTCGTTTTCAGGACAAGGGCAGTACAGAAACTGATTGAAAGCTTGAGGGCAAGGGAGGAGATCCAGCTGGTCGTCGCAGCTCTGCGCCCCGGGTTCCTGGAGCTCATAAAGGATCCTAATGGTAATCATGTCGTGCAGAAGTGCTTGCAATCGTTCGGGGCTGATGATAACAAGGTATACATGTGTGTGTGTACATGCATCTTAACAAGTTCTGAATATATTGTAGATGAGTTAGTATTTTTATTTAGGTGTAAGTTAGTCTATTTGGGTCCAGAGAAGTTGTTCCAATCTAGTTACTCTGATCGCTTCAGAAAAGTTTGTAGTAGACCACTTCCACTTGTCTGAATTTTGCAGCTTGTACTGTTAATTGTCAATTATTGACCTGAATTTTCGGCAAAAATTTTAGTGAATTGAATTTTGATTTTACTAAACTGATATGTTCCTGGTCAGACATAATTAACTCACAATCTACAACTTTCAGCCCATCTTCGATGCTGCTGCTGTTTATTGCCTTGATATCGGGATGCAATGCCATGGCTGCTGCGTCCTGCAGCGGTGTATTGCGCGTTCCACGGGTGAGCACAAGGAGAAGCTGGTTGCCGCAATCGCTCGCAATGGGTTCGAACTTGCACAAGATGCCTATGGGTAAAAATCCTGCCTTGTGCTCCACCTGTAATTTTTCATGTAACCACGAGGCCGGTAAAACAAGCATGGTTAATCAATTATTGTTCTGTCTAGCATATCATTAGTAGGCCAGCCGGCAGCATGCCTTTGTAAAGTGGAGACCATTGATTGTAGAGACCTCTGTATTTCTGTAGACATTCCTACAAATCTTTAGTGCCATGATATCTAGTTAAACATTTTTTTTTGAACATAACTAGTTAAACATTTATACACATTAAAGAAAAAGAATGCATTCAACAAGTTTTACCCTGTATGTTCATAATTTATTCTTCTATATGTTTATGTTGGTGTATTTTAACTTGTAAACTCATGAGCTTATCTGCTAATGTTGCAGAAACTATGTTGTTCAGTATGTGATAGAGCTAAAGGTCGCTACTGCAAATGCAAGTCTGGCACAGCAGTTTGAAGGCAAGTACATCCACCTTTCCATGCAGAAGTTCAGTAGCAACGTTGTCGAGAAATGCCTGAAAGTTTTCAAGGAAGCCGACAAAACCAACATCATCCTGGAGCTCCTTTCTGCGCCACAGTTCGAGCGGTTGCTTCTGCACCCTTACGCAAACTATGTGGTCTACGCAGCACTTCAGAATTCGAAGGTAAATAACATCTCAACCAATACAGAGTCAACCAGAGACCGCAGTGTGTTGACAATATGTCTATGCTTGCGTTCTACTGAGCCATTTTGTTGATGTGACTGCGACGAATTTTTCAGGGGTCTCTCCACTCAGCACTGACCAACGCCATCCGGCCTCATGTGGAACTACTCAGAACCAGCCCATACTGCAAGAGGATCTACTCTCGAGCTTTGCTGAAGAAGTGATGGCCTGATGAAACCATCTCACCATGTAACAATAAAGATTGTTTGTCTTGTGCTATTTTTTCAGATTCAAAAGGGATAAAAGTGATCTCACCATGTAGATTTTGTATAGATCAAAATTATTTGGTCATGTACTTCTAAGTGCACCTTTATTGGGTGCACTCTTCAGTTGCATAATCCATCTGGAATGGTAAGTTCCGGTCGAACAAATCATCATATAGATGTTGATGCACGTACATAAGATTGGTGATGCTTCTTGTAACTTAATGTTTGAATTTTTACTTGCCCCTCAATTGCTCAACCGAATGCCAGAACATGAAGGCAAATAACTGATTTGCAGTCTATGGAAAGTTATGTATGACTTTGTCATGATACATCTCAACATACTTTATTAAGTATCTGGACAAAGGAAATCACAATTAAAATGCCATTATATTTAACACAACATGAACGGAGCGTGAACTTTCAAAGGCTTTTTTCCATCTTCTCTAATTAAAAAAAAACAGAAAAAACAGAGTTAGCTATGAGCCACCACAACAATTCAATATGTTTTGCCGTCCGATCACATAATTGGACGTTCTAGATCTTCCAATTGTCCCACAAGCGTCCCTACGTTATTTTCACCCTTCACGACATGCCCAACTTGAAAGGGCTGCTGCTCCCGCGTGTTGGCGTCAATTGGGCCCTGAAACAGCCCAATTTGTATCTTACATCATCCTAGGCCCGGCTCGCACTTCCCCCTTCCATCCCCTCAAAAAAAAACTTCTCCCTTCCATGTCTCGATATAGGGACCCCTTAAAAAAATGTCTCGATATGGAGAAGAAGAAAAAGTCATCCTCATTCACCCTGGTACGTGTTTGCCACGGCAGCAATATAAGGTGGAACAGTCTGCCCTTTGCCCTTCCGCTTCTATCTTAATTTAAGATTGAGAAACGCTTTGCATCAGGCGTCCGATCCCACGTTCGTGTCAGACCACATCCCTTCCATTGGATTTTGTGAAACGATCCAACGCCTTGCAGCTTCTCTATATAATCCTAGGCAGCCCCACGTTATCCTGGCCATAACCTAGATAGGTAACCACCACAGCCTCCGGCAATCCTAGAGCTCCTCGCACGTCATCGCTGCCGCCGGCTATGGTGGCGAGGATCAACGGGGAGCGGAAACAAGGAGCACATCCTTAGCAAGAACTCCGACGAGGACGTCACAGACGTGATCCGACGAGGTGCTGCTTCTCCACGACGCCTTGGCCGTGATCAGGTACAAATTCTCCATGAGTGCTGTTGTCGTGATCCGCCGAGGTCGACGAGGGGCAGAAGAGCACGTGCCGATCGTGAGCGCGACAATTGGTGATCCCAATTATCTCAGCATACTGATCTCCTAACTGTTATCACTCTCCCCATCCATGCAACACCGCCCACGGCGAGATTGGCACCTTTATTCCATGGCAACATGGAGACATCCCTCTACACGGTGCCCTTGTTTGATTTGGCCTAGTCTCTTATGCTTCTTGCCATCTACACCACCGGTTTCTTGACGTATGTACACCCGAAGTGGGAATGTGGTGCCTCATTGTCACAGATGCAATGCTTCAGCATGTGTATTAGGATTCCTAGTGCCTATGTATGCATGTCAATAGGTGACATGATTCCAACTTGTGTATAATATGGTTTGAAGATTTAAAGGATTGCTTCCTTCTTTTTAAACAACCATGGCATTGACAATGCTTCGGTACTATTTTAGTCCGGCTTCGACAATTATAAACAATGTTTCCAATGTCTCACCAAAACATAAAATGCATCAATATCATAAGTGCCATGGTTCAACCATTAATAAATTGTGCTTCACAATACAAGAACATGCTCTTCATAGCAGAGAATCATGATGCATGGTTTGTAACATTAGAAGCACGTTTATATTACCATGGAAACAAGTATAAATTGGAGGAATGTGTGATTATATATGGACCTCGGTTGAATATACATCAGCGTGATCAAAGGAAGTTTGCGATTATTGAAAGCATATTTCTATACAACTGAAGCAAATTTTCATTGAATCAGAATCGCCCAAGTAATTAATTAATTTCCTTCAAATATGCAATAATTTGTTTCCATAAAATCAGCACCGAAGAGTGATTGCCGGAACCTAGCACCCAAATGCATGGTAAGCCCACGCACGCTGATTGATTTGTAGTTTGGAAAGTCCTACACAGATGGAAAACATGCAGCCTTACTACATCCACCATTCATTCAAGATTTCATCCAACGGCCTACGACTGGTCTGATAAGAAGCAAAAAAACAGTAGTCTGATGCCTAGTGCTTCCCACTTTAAGATTTCTCCAGCACACATGGTTCTTGCCTTCTATTCTTGGTGCTTCGGATGATTTAGTCACACCTTTGCATTTGTATTGGTGTCCACCCACATACTAGGTTGTTACTCTCCTGATGTCTCTTGTTCCTTTTGTGCTTGTTTCAAAAACTTGATGGTGGTTGACCAACCGAGACAAACAGTTCACTGATCTGTGGTTAATTTGGATGGGCGATGAACATGTCTGACCCAAGAACCACACATGACATCTGCATATATTATATCGAGAGAAGTCTACATTACAACTCTGAACTTGCCACTTGGTTTAAGAATCAACCCTAAACTATAAAAAACCGGGTCCATCAGAATATACCACCTCTTGGAAACCCACGCCCCCGCATTGCTCCACGGGAGCGGCTCGGGTGGAAACCCCAGCCGCCACCCACCGCCGCCCCCTCCACCCCCTCTCTCTCCTGCCGTCGTCGGTACACGTCGCTGGGCAAAGCCCCGACAAGGGGTGGCGACGGGGGGTCTCGTTCCTCACGCGGTTGTCGGCTCTCTCATGCGAGATCTGCAGCATTTTGGGTGCTCCGGTGGTGGTGTGTGTGTGGCGGCCCCTGACTGCTCCCGGCAATGCCCTGGTTCATGCGACCGATGGCGCGTTGCGACCGTCCTCCATCCTCGGCTGCGGGATGGTCTGGCATTGGGGGCCTCTGTGTGGTGCAGGAGGTGGTTCCCAGGCGGCGATGCTCCACTGGCCTCGCCCCAGATCTGTCGCTGCCCGTGCGTGTGCGGCCGGATCCGACCGGGTCCGGCTCGGATCCATTTCGGGGCGCCCCCATTCCTTTTCTCTGCTGAAGTTTGGGCTTCCCCTGTCACTTGCCTGTGTAGGCATTAGGTGGTGCTTGTGTTGGGGAACGTTGCATGGAAAACACTACGCACATGCAAGATCTATCCATGGAGATGCATAGCTATGAGAGAGGAGAGTGTGTCTACGTACCCTCGTAGACCTTTAAGCGGAAGCGTTTATCAACGCGGTTGATGTAGTAGTACACCTTCACGATCCGCCCGATCAAGTACTGAACGTACGACACCTCCGCGTTCAGTGCACGTTCAGCTCGATGATGTCCTCGCCTTCTTGATCCAGCAAGACGAGCGAAGTAGTAGATGAGTTCCGGCAGCACGACAACGTGGTGATGGTGGTGATGCAACTATCTTCGCAGGGCTTCGTCGAGCACTATGAAAATATGACTGAGGATGAACTAGAGGGAGAGGGGTGCCGCACACGGCTTGGGGATCGTGGTGTGTGTTGCCCCTCTCCCTTCTCTCATATATATAGGTGGAGGGGGAGGGGAGGAAGCCCTAGGCGCGCCCCCAAGTGGCCGGTGGCTGCCCTAGGGCGCATGCCCTAGCCGCGCCCCTTCCATATTTGTGCATGGGGGGAGGAAAGGGGGGCCGGTTGCCTTAGGGCGCCTCCCCCTTTCCTTCCCTCCCTTCCTTGGTGCATGGGCAAGGTGGAGGGCTGCACCAACCCCCTTGTGGGCTGGTGTGCCCCCCTTTGGCCCATAAGGCCCACCACATACTGGTAGCCTCCTGGAACCCCTTTCGGCACTCTGATAAATACCCGGTACTTTCCAAAACCTTTTCGGTGACCGAATATCATCGTCATATATATCAATCTTTACTTCCGGAACATTCTGGAGCATCTTTATGATCACCCAGCTATGTTGTGACGTTTGATAACACACAAGGTATTCCTCCAGTATCCGGGAGTTGCTCTTTCTTGATGCTCTTTCTTGATTTCTACCTCCACCGATTTCAACATTGCAAAGAGCTTGGAAATTGTTTTAGTCATTCCTTGCATATTGTAGTTCATCACGAAGCTCTAGTAGCTTGGTGATAGTGACTGGAGAATTCTATCAATCATTATCTTATCTGGAAGATTAACTCCCACTTGATTCAAGCGATTGTAGTACCCAGACATTCTGAGCACATGCTCACTGGCCGAGCTATTCTCCTTCATCTTGTAGGCAAAGTATTTGTCAGAGGTCTCATACCTGTCAACACGGGCATGAGCCTGAAATACCAATTTCATCTCTTGGAACATATCATATGTTTCATGGCGTTCAAAACGTCTTTGGAGCCCCGGTTCTAAGCCGTAAAGCATGGCGCACTAAACTATCAAGTAGTCATCAGATCAAGCTTGTCAAACGTTCATAATGTCTGTATCAGCTCCTGCAGCAGGTCTGTCACCTAGCAGTGCATCAAGGACATAATTCTTCTGTGCAGCAATAAGGATAGTCCTTAGATCACGGACCCAGTCCGCATTATTGCTATCATCATCTTTCAACTTAGTTTTCTCTAGGAACGCATTAAAAATACAAGGGAACGGTAACACAGGCCATTGATCTACAACATAGATATGAAAATACTATCAAGACTAAGTTCATGATAAATTAAGTTCAGTTAATCAAATTACTAATGAACTCCCACTTAAATTAACATCCCTCAAGTTATCTAAGTGCATTACTAGGGAAAAGCCTATACACATAACTTTAGTAGTAGCGCGTGTTAAAAAAGGGCGCTACTACTAGACAGCAGTAGCACGCAAAAAAAACACGTTGTAGATACATATATAGCAGTAGCGCGTCCCGCTGCAAAAGTGCTACTACAAAAATTCCCACAACTAAGCCGATCG